CTTTATGCCTAACGATGTGAAAGACGCTTTTGAATATGTAAATAATATACAGACATATATTCTACATATTTATGGCGCTTTGATTGATGGGCAAAAAGCTAGGGTGGATATTACAGGCATCAAACCTTTCTTCGATGTCGTTGTGTCTGATAACGAACCTTTATCTGGATTCAAATCAAGATTAGTGAAAATTATATCAGGGGCAGAGAAAATTGACAAATCAAAGTTTGGAATGAAGAACATCTATGCATATCCAATTCGTGGTTATCATACTGAGAAAAAGGTATATATTCGTATTACTACGTGGAGTCATTATGATAGGACACGGATTTTAAAAGAAGTTCGTAAGCATGGCATTGGAACAGCATCAGATGATACCACTAATGATTGTTATTATCGAAAGATAGCCCATGAAGAAAGACTACCTCTCTCAGAGTGGGCCGTATTAAGCAATTATAGTCACTGTGTGACTGCTTTAAGTAATTGCATATCAAATACAGATTTACCACATATTTATTTCTGTGTATCTGTAAATAATTTTCAGCCTTTAGGGGATAATAAGCCAGATGAACAGATATTATCTTCAGCTCTCATACATGATCGAACTCTTGTGCTCACCTGGGATATAGAAACATATAGTGGTCGTAAGATGGGTGACTTACCTATGGCAAAATATGAAGATGACTGAGTTTTTATGATTTGCATGACCATACATTGGAAGGATGATCAGTACCATTAAAGCAGATCTGTCTTGTTGATGTTGAAATAACACCAGATCCGCGTTGGATTACAGTTGTTTGTGGGACTCAAGAAAACTTATTAAAAGCTTTCGCCCTTTGTTGGAGAGCAATCATGCCAGATATACAAATCGGGTTTAGTGATTCACAATATGACTGGCCCTTTATTATAGAAAAAGTCAAAAGTTTAGGCATTCTTGAATGGATGTTTAATCATATGTCACCCGAACCATCCAATATTGAAGAAATTATAAATGGAAATATCGGAAAAGTGAGATAAAGATAGATGATGAAAAATTTTATTCAAAGTATCTCAAAATCCCAGGATGTATACCTATTGATGTCCGTGCTTGTTTTAAAAAGTTATACCAAAAATCAGAAGCAAGTTCACTGAAATATTATTTGGAAAAATGTGGATTGGGTAGCAAGGCGGATATGCCAATAACTACTATGAATAAAATATATGAAGATACAATACTTCACCCCTCTGATATATCAGCTAAAAATATGTGCGAAGTTGCAAATTACTGTATTATAGATGCATTACGGTGTCAAGAGCTTATGGTTAAACATAATGTAATTAATGATTATCAGGAGGTATCATCTATTGCATATGTTTCTCTTTCTGATTCTCATTATTTTGCGGGGGGTATGAAAGTATGTAATCTTTTGGGAGCTGAAGCTTGGAGTAGTAATATGTTGTGTAGTATGATTGCTTCAGAAAATACAGAATCTGGTAAATATCCAGGAGCTTATGTTATTACACCGATAAAAGGTCTGGAAAACAAACGTCCAGTAACAGGTTTAGATTTTGCCTCCCTATACCCAAGTCTTATAATGACATACAACCTTTCACCAGATAAAATCATACTATCCCATGAAGAAGCGATAAATGTAATCCGTAGTGGAAAAAAAACCCACATGATTAAGTTTCTATTCAATGGTCGAACTATAGAAGCTTGGTCTATTCGCCATAATAATATATCTGAAGAAAAGGGATTATATGCTAGAGTGTTGGAAAATCTATTTAATAAACGAAAGAAGATGAAAGAAACCCTTAATGAATTGGATGATAAAAGTTTCGAATATAGTTGCTTAGACTCAAAACAAAAGGCGGTAAAATTATATATGAATACATTTTATGGTGAGGCAGGTAACAATCTCTCTCCATTCTATCAACTTCAGTTAGCAGGTGGAGTTACTTCTGCTGGGCAACGTAATATTAAATTTGTTAGAAATTTTGTTGAAGATAAAGGGTTCGGTGTTAAATATGGAGACACCGATTCTTTATATCTCACATGTCCAGAAGAGTGTTTCCGGGAATGTGATCGAAAATATAAATTAGATCAACTCTCACAAGAAGAGTACTGGGAAGAAATGGTAAAAATATCTATGGAAGTGATGGCAAACCTCCGTAATGAAGTAAATACTGAGCTTGAAAAAGACAATGGAACGCCTTACCTTAATATGGCATATGAGGAGGTCTTATTTCCCATGGTATTTACAGGAAAGAAAAAATACTATGGTCTTGAGCATAAAAAGGAGCCAAATTTCAATCCGGGTAAGCTTTTCATTAAAGGGGTAGATATTGTGAAAAGAGGCCAATCTAAGCTCTTTCGTGATGTAGGTAAGGAAATTATGAATAGAACTTTGAAAGTCGGTAATGAGGAGACAATACACCAGATTGTTGAAAAAGTTCTTTGGGAAAATTTGGAAAAACTTTCCAATTTAGATTATGATGAATTTATTCAGACATGTATATGGAGGCCTAAAAAGGAAGGTAAGCGGGGAAATATTTCTGTAGAACGGTTTGTTTCGCGAATGGAGGCTAAGTATTCTCGTGAAGTATTGGAAAATCAACAGCTTATAAAGAGAGATTTTCCCGCTAACGAATACCTATATAAAGTTCCCAAACCCGGTGAACGATTTAGTTACATTGTAGTAGTGCCTGAAGAGATTTATGATAACTGCGGGAAAAAAATACCTCAACAAAAAGGAGACTGTATGGAATATCCAGATGTGGTAAAAAAGTTCAACAAGAAAATAAATATTGATTATTATATCGAAAGTCTATTTGGTCTCTGTGCCCGTTTTATAAATTATGATGATAAATATCAACCATCGCCTGAATCCCTCTCAAAAGTTTTGGATCGCAAAAAGAAATTAAAAATTGCTAAGGATTTATTGCAGAGCAGGCCCGAAGGGGCGACCCTAAAGGGTCATGACTCTCCGAGTCTAGATGAAGATGAAATAGCAAAAATTAAAGATGAAGAGTCACAGAAGTCAGCTAAAAAATGGCTCAAAAATTATATTAAGAACTTACGTGATGCTCCGAAAAAAGATGAAGCCATTATTTCCTATTTATGGAAAGATGCTATTATACATGCTGAAAAAATGTGCTCTACTATGAATATTAGCAAAGCGGGTATAACTAGGCCTTCTACTTCAGGCGCTTCTACTTGGTATAATAATTATCTTAATGCATTAGATAAAATTGCAGACTCCATTCGTTTGAAATTATCAGATCTACTTTTAGAATTGTCTAAGCTTAATGTGGAATATAGAAATGAGTTATATAAATTAATTATGAAGCCACAGAAATGCAAGGCCAATGTTACGATTTTGGAAGAGTATATACTTCGATATAACCTGGAATCAGAATGTGAAGCATTAACAGAATTCCGAAATACATGGTACAAAGCAATTGGTCTTGAGATTGCACGTGTTCAAGCGGTGTCAATCATGCAGAGTAGTAAAAAAGATGACTCATCCGAAGCGGATATTGATGAGATTATCAACCTATATTGTTAAGTATTCTTAGCTAAGATCGCCACAATTTACTAAGATACATATGTGTCTTTAGACACTAGCTCCGCTATACATTATTAATAATATTTTTTTTCGTACATAAATAATATCGAAGTTTAAATAGAAAGTTCCTAATACCTAGCCCACATATCCCGTAACCGATCACTTTTCCTTTCAAATCCCCATGTGTGTCTTACAAACCACATAACCGCAATAATTAATAGAGTAAGAAAAATATATGCCACAATAGGGATTGCTCCTATCGGAGGAGGCAAAGCCTCGGGACCAGGTCTCATTTGAGAATTCGATTCAATTAATGAGGACATATTAATTTCCCGTTGAGCAAGGTGCGGAGTCATATTTTCAGATATAATTGGGGGTATATCCGGGTTTATCGATGAAACTAGCATATTATCTTTGTTAATTTCGCTAATGCTAATTTCATCATTTACCTCGGGGTCGATCTTGGTATCATTTTTTGGTAGTTCAGTAATCTCACCATCGATTTTTTCTATTTGATCCATATTTTTTCCACGTATAAAATATTTACTGAGATCAGTACTACCCAAAGATATATTATCAGACTTAGTAATATTTTTTTCGTCACTCCCACCAACTATGGGTTTCGATATAGCCTCCGATTTCAGATGCTCGAGTTCATTGACCTTCGATTCTAATTCACTCTTTATATTTTCTAATTCGGCTATTTTAGATTTGAGAGATAAATTTTCGGATTCTTTTTTCAATGAGTCATTTTGAATAGAAATTACATCTTCCTGAGCTGAAGACAACTTACCTTTCAATATCTCGATCATAGACTCAAGCGATCTAATTTTCTTGGATTTTATAGTATTCTCAGCCTTGGATTCAGCAATAAAAATATCCTTTTGTGCGTTATGAGAAATAAGATTGGTATTTTCATTTTGTAGTTGCTCATGCTCATTAATGACCTGCAAAGTGTGAGTGCGTAACTTTTCGATCTCAGTATTATTTCGTAATGAATCCTGATTCCACCTCTTTTTCTCTTGATCGAAAGCTTTCACTCGTTTCATGTATTTAGATCGCAATGCTTCATTACCATCATTTAGCTCGGATATGGACTTTAAACTATGATGTAAAGATTCTTCGAGCTCTTGCTCACGCATACTGCCAAGACGATGGCCTTTATTAGAGCTAATATCTTGTAGCGTATGTACATTAGCCATATATCTTTGGTTAAACTATATGTAATATACATAAGATAATTTACAAAATTTAGAATCCGATATAAAGTATTATAAAATATCAGGTAATATCAGGTAATATCAGGTAATATCAGGTAATTACCGGTAACTTTAGAAAATATCAGATAATTACCGGTAACTTTAGAAAATTATCACACAATAATTATATATAATTACCGATAATTACTGATAATTTTCGAAAATTTTATATATTTTTATGATTAGAAAAAAGATGGAACGCATAACTGTAAAATATTATCGTGCTGATACACCTTATCTATCTCCAGAAGCTATTGAGGAAATTATTCAATCTCGAGGAACGATTAAAAATGCATGCAAGGAAATGGTTGATAGATATAGCACTTCAACTCGCCGAATTTATGAAATCTGGAAAAGGCATGCCCAAGGATTGCCTCAGCGCAAGCAACAAATGATACAAAATACATTTCCTTCTGAAATAGCATCTATGCCTGGAAATAATATCTCAAATGAGCGGACAAAAAAGAAAAAATCTAGTTCCAAATTGATCCGCTCTTCACATTCAACTTCTAATAGTGGAGGAAAGATGGAAAAAATAAGTGGGGGAGGTATGAATAACATTCCTAATACAGATATAGTTGCCCAAATTGAGCGAGAAATAAAAAGAAAGGATAAAAACTTAGCTAATACTGCTCGCATAATGTCTACTACTTAATCTATATTGACTTTATCTGCAACAGACACAATGATATTTCCGCATTTTACTTGCAGAGCTTCATTACAATCATTAAGTTCTGTGATCGATTTAAATGCATTATAAAGACTTTTCTCATATCTCTCGCAATTTACGCATTTTTTTTTAACTCTGTATCTCTGTCTTCAGAAATAGATGGAATTGCATTAACGTGATGTACCTCAATCTTATTTTCTACCTTGTGCATCGTAACTGGAATGTAAAAATCTTTCCCGTTGCAATTGATCTTCAGTAAATCCTTATCCCCGAGTATTTGATATTTGTGGTGATAGAGGAATGGATTGCTCAATAACAGCAAAGGCTTATCATATTCAATAACTACAAAATCTAAATAAAATATACAATCTGGGGCTAGGGTTAACGGTACATTATAAACCATTCCAATTGATTTTGTCAGAACAGTGGCCGCCCCCTTGAAATAATGAGTAGTACTTTTATCGATTTTTAAACCCAAGCGCTCAGCAATATCTCTAGACATAAGTAAAGTATTAGCGCCAGGATCAACCGTAATCGCCGAAAGTACTAGACGTTTGATCTTCCCCCGAACAGTTGGAACATCTATTGCATCTTTATCCCGAACAAAGTTAATTTCCATATCTTCGATAACTTCTTCATTTTCAGTATCGCTTTGAGAATGGACTTCGGGATTAGATTTCTGGAAATTTCGTAAGATTTTATTTATAACCTCCTCTAATAAAGCAGAATTTATAAACTCGCTTTGGATTATCTCACGAATTCGTTGCTCTAGTAAAGTTGAAGTGGGATTTTGTGATACTCGATCTACTTTTTTTTAATTCTGGATACATTAACATTGGAATCCTCATCAGGCACATCATCATCAAATTCACCATCATCTTCTTGATCGGAAATAGCAGATTCGTCAGGAATTTCTTCTGTATCAGAGTGGCTTTGTTGGAAACCATCAGCAAAATTCACACGACCAATTTTTTTCTTGGAATTATTAGCTATCATATTTTTAATTATGGGACAACTGCGATAAGTATGTCCCGGCTTTTTGCAAATTTCACATTTGCGCTGGATCGGCCTAGTACTTACTCTAGGATCTCTAGCCAGATTTACTGATGAATTGGGGGGATTAGGCAATCCCTCAAGTTGATCTAATTTACCCGCAATATTGACTATCGCGTAATCAATTTCCATCGGTTCTAGTACTCTGTTATCTTCGGCTTCGAGACCCATATCTGCATAATTCCTTAACTCTTCATAATACTTAGCTTTCTCAGTTTTGGGACGAAAATTTCGTTGATAATCATATACTGGAGGCGTTTTTTGAACGAATTGCGGAGGTGGTTGAACGAATTGCAGAGGTGGTTGAACGATTTGCTGAGGCGGTTGAAACGCGGGTTGTTGTACAATTTGTTGGGGTACCTGAGACACCATCCCATTCATATTATTCGCACTTCCGTAATTAAATGAAGAAGGCCTACGTTTGAGCCATAAATTCTTAAGATTAGTGAAAAATGCATTGGTATCTGCAGGATTTGTACTTTCCATTCGGTTAAAAATCTCATCAGGCAAATGATTCATAAGGAATGACAAGGCATTAGCATCGTTATTAGCAACTCCTAATAATAAGGGACGTATCCTAGTCTCATATGTATCTGGTGTATCATTAGGTAAAAATTTTTCGTAAGCTAGCCTCTGGAGAGCAACTTGTTGTGTCCCAACTGTTTCTATCTGATATTTATGACATACCCATTCGTATAAGCGAGCTGGAGTATCAATATTATTTCCAGCATGTTGATTGGGTACATCTGCATATTTTTTACCCAGTTTGCTCTTCAAGATCGCAACTTTATGAGCATCATCAATTTGTGTTACTGCGGGATATGATAATATGGCATTAATTCCATTATACCATTCGCCAGGTTGAACCTGTCCATTATAAAATTCAACATTTGCAAGTAAAGGTGCAATACCAGTCAAGTCACCTATAGGTGTCGCCATATTTGGTGGATTATTCTGAAGCGCTAAAATTTGTTGATTTAAATTTATAATTATTTGCCTCGAACCTTTTTCCTTATTTTCCCATTTTTTGTGTTTCGCCTTTTGCTTGATATGTTTACCTTTTCTCTTTGCATGCTTTCTACGCCAATTTTGTAATTCAGCTTGACATGTTTGCAATTGTCCCGTCTGGAAATTGTGGGCCTGGTTAAGAAGATCGAAATTATTATTTGCAGTATCCAACCGAGCCTGTAATTGTATAATAATTTGTGCATCTCCCTGAATTTGGGCTTGAAGTTGAGTTGCTTGATTATTCAACCCTGCAATCACCTGACCATATTGCTGATACTGGGTTTGTGCTTCGTCATTTTCCCAGTCAGCGATTTCTTTCAATCTATTTGCGGAACTAGTAATGATATTAAGTTTGGTCAAAATATCTCTCTGATTCAATTGAGAAGATTGTGACCCTCGAAAATGCTCATCAATATCTCTACATTCGTCCTGAACCGTTTCAAAAATGTTATTGAGTTCATTGGGCCTAGGTGGTTGGATTGGATCAGACATTGCAAGTTTATTATACTTCTTGGATGTAAGTTTCCGAATTTTCTTTTTTAATACGAGCACTTCCTCTTCGAGTGTAGACAACCGTTGCTCTAGATCAAGAATATAGCCCTCTTTTTTATCGACATCCTTTAGAGCTAGTCTGAGGCGTTTTTGTAAATCAGATACCTGGAATTTGAGTTCTTGAATTTCCTTTTCGTGGGCTATGATTGTAGTATCCTGAAGCGAAATGGACCTATTACATTGTTCTAGTTCTTTTATGAGAATGCAGATTTTTTTCTCGTTCGATTGGTTTATACTTGTCTCAGAATTAAGTTCCTTTCTCAGTTCGCGATTACTTTTGAGCAATGCTAAATAGGCGGGATCGAAATTGAAACTCATGACAAAAAATTCAGCCTTGGTTTATAGTATCAATTATAACATTTCGCAATCATGGCAATGAGTGTACCTACTATTATAATCAGTGCTGATGAAGAATTAAAAATCGTTCTTCGTATAATTTACTATCACGTACCTGGATTTAGTTCAAACGCAAAGCGGTTACAAAAAGCTTGTTGGCAAGAAGGATATAATCATTTTTCCCTGCAAGATATCGCAAAATGGTTAAAGAACCAGTATGTTCATCAAATACATCTCTTTCCACAAAAATGCAAAGCGGGGGCAGGATTCCAGAAGGTATCCATTCCTAATAAAGTTCATCAGTGCGATTTATTGCCACACGGTCATGATGATCAGGATGGTGAAAAAATATACCTCTATACTTTAGTGGTAATAGACGTGGCAACTCGCTATAAAAATGGACGTTCGCTAACATCGAAGAATAGTTTAGAAGTTTGGAATGCCATCGAAGAAATTTACAATGATCCCAACAATCCTCTCACATGGCCAAAATTATTAATGCTGGATGGCGGTAAAGAATTCTCTGGATATTTTTCACGGGGAATGGAACGTTATAATGTATTTATCTGGGTCATTGATCTTTATAGTTTTGAAAGCCTAGCATTTGCTAAAGCATTAAAACGAAGATTAGCAGAAATAATATACAAAATTCAATATGCTATAGAATCCAAGTTACCAGCAGGAGAACGCTCGACATTGTGGAATATGATTCTCGAAGTAATTTTTGACTATATGAACAACAGTCCTACACGATTAATTGGAATGACCCCATCCCATGCTATGACGTTGGAAAAAGTGGTATCTAAACCTTCCATAAAAATATTGGAAACGAAATTATCTTCAACTCAGAATGAATCAAAGGAAATTACAGCACTTCGGTCTATGAAAAAAATATTGGAAGGTAAGTTGTCTTCGGCCCAGAAGGATGTAATTTCTATTCAAAATGACTCATTGAAAAAAGAATCCGAAAATTTATCTCTCAAATCTAAAATAGCTGAATTAGATCATATAAAGAGCTCATTGGAATCGAAGGTCAATGAACTCGAGCATCTGAAATCAGAGGCTATATCGAAACCCATAGTTGGTGGAAACGACGAAAAAAATACGCAGAGCGAGGAACAAAGTTCCATATCGAATTCTAGTAATATTTCTGCGGATAGAAATCTCAGTCAATATTTTATACATAAAAAAAATATGAATCAAGCTGGAAAAATCGATACCATGTGTCTTGAGTCGAAGACTCGTGGCTTTGCCACTGACACTAGCTCTGCTATTATACCAGATAACACTGATAATGAAAGAACTTCTATACCTGAGGAATCAGTAATTCGAGGCTATGCCCCATCTCCAAGAGTAGATACAGAGATTATTCCCGAGGTAAGTGACGAAATCGATATTAGCAAAACTAACAACAATACACTTCAGGAAATACCGAATATGACTCCTTACCTTGCACAGCCGGAAAATAATATGTCCTCTTTGATTGAATCGAATACCCAGATGGGACCTGGTCCCGAGGCTTTGCCTCTTTCTGCTGTGGCAAGTACTTTGATGTCACCTTTATCAGCATATATTTGTCTTATTCTATTAATTATCGCAGTTATATGGTTCGTGGTATTGAGACGCACATGGGGGTTGGAAAGGAAAAATGAGCGGTTACGGGATGCGTGGGCTGGATAATAAGACTATCTATTTGAACTTGGGTATTTTTTATGTATAGAAAATATAATAGTTTTTAATCATGCCTAATATTTGTTGTAGTTGTAAGGAACCATCGTCGCCATTATATACAGATTGTATTGTTACACACTCCTTTATGGTAGTAGGGATGAGATTTCGTGGTGGTCATAAGTTTAAGAAATCAGATACCATCACTCTTGAACCGGAGCCTTCTAATACGTATGATAAGAATGCGATAAAAATTATGGTAGATGGTATCCATAAAGCCTATGTGGCAAAGGATGAGAATGTAAGTATAGGAGATTTGATGAGACGCTACCCTCGTTATCGGGTAAATGCCCATGGAAAAAAAAACT